ATGCAAAAGTATATTGGTTATATCCATTCTTTACATATAGTAACTAAATGTGTCAAGTATTAATAATTGTTTAGCCTTACTTTTGACGGAGAAAGCAGGAAACGACAGAAAACTGAGATTTATTCTGTTTTTTGGAATATCTCAAAAAACCTTGAGGTTTTTCGCGCAAGGGTTGTTCAGTGCAATATTGAAATACTTTTAAATATGAAGTTAATACCTTCAAAAAGGTATTGTCTACTATGGACATCAATTTCGCGGTTTGGTGCAATTTTTTATTAAAGTTGAAATTCAATGAATATAATCTCATGAATATCTCTGTAACCATCGGCTTTATAAAAAAAAAAAAATGTATTCAGTCATTTTTTTATAGAGATTTTAAAATACTTTAATATTGTACTGAACAATCTTTATGAAAAACCTTATAGTTTTTGGGATATTTTCAAAAAACCAGAATAAATATCATGTATGTTTATATTTTAGGCTGTATGTGTTTTTCACCACATTTATTTTATTTTCTCCTCCACAAGGACTACCCCTCGTCTATGATGCCATTTTCAAGCCATCAAGACCCATACACAATCAGTTCATAAAAAAAAAAAAAATAATAATAATAATAATAATTATAAATAAATAAAAAAAAAATACAAAAAAAACACACACATTTAACATAATATAATAGTGATGTTAATCATCCATTGAAAAGCAAAATTATAACCCTAACAGTGTTAAGCCATTAAGTTAATTTACAAGTCAATTTATTAAAATAAAACATAATATAAGAATATTGCTTAAATGAATTTACTTATGTAAGGTAAATCAGATATTGATTCCTAATGAATTTTAATGAAATTGAAAGTCCTTTTTAATTTTGGAATTGCAATTACTTTTATGTTGATTGATTCTGTTTTTAAGTTTTGTTTAGTTTGACCTACCTATGTAACATGTCTCTTCTTATTTCATCGGTGTTATTTCTTCATAGCCGAAACGTTTCCATTGTGGAGACGAAATGAAAATAAATGTGAAAAATACAGCATTTCTTTATATAGTAATATATAATTTAACCTAAAATAAAAACATACATGATATTTATTCTGTTTTTTTTTAAGAATATCCCAAAAACTATGAAGTTTTTCGTAAAGATTGTTCAGTACAATATTAAAATCTATAAAATGGCTCAATACCTTTATTTTTTATAAAATCAATGGTTACGGAGATATTTATGAGATTATATTCATTCTATTTCCACTTTGGGCGAAAATTGCTCCTAAACACGAAATTGATTTTCATAGTTGACAATGCCTTTTTGAAGGTATTAACTTGATATTTTAAAGTACTGCAATATTGTACTTAATTTGAGTATACACAATGATGCTTAATTAACTGGTAAATGATTTGCATTTACACAGTTGATTGAATTATAAAGCGTACGGAAGCAAATAGATTTTACATGTTTGCGGAAGTTTGAAAATGAAGTAGGTGTTGGTTGAGTTATTTGAAGAAATTTGTGGACGCGAATTGATGGTGACTATAGAGTTCCAAAAGACGAAGTAAGTTCACGAATGACGAAGAATTTGCTGAAGGAAGCAGTTTTATAGGAAGGGAATTATAAACCTATAGGTTGAGATCGGATATTAAGGGAATGGATAGAGGGGCATAAAGTAAAGAGTACTGGGATATAGGGAGGGTTTTTGGTTCTGATGACTTGGAAAAGGAAAACACCAAGGAGGAATATTCGTCGGGATGTGGGATAAAGCCACTTCAACTCGGTGTACCAGATATTGCTGTTACTGAGGGAAACCTAACTCTACATTATCACGCTGGTGATTTTCTTCAGCTAGTAAGCAACGATAACTATTCTTAATACGAAGCTTTCGTGTGCGAGTGATAGGAATTAGTGGGTTTTGATCATTTGAACCTCCTACAGTAAATTAGAAAATAGAAGAACTTGAGGAACGTGAATAGAAGTATAACGCTACTTATACTAAAAATTGGTTTTTCCGAGAGGTGAGAAATAAGAGATAAATATATTGCTATTAGATGGAGTAGGATTTTCTTCATTGTTTGTCAGCATTACAAAAAAAAAATATATATATATATATATATATATTTATATGGAATTAACTTTAATCACTTCATATGAGTGTTATTTTTATATTTCTATTGAATATTAAGAAAGCTTTTTACAATCATTGTCGTATTCATTAGGAAAATTTAAAAATAGATTTCTGGGTTTGATTTATAAGGATTATTGAAAGGCCCAACCTTTGAATAGCTTAGCTACCAAGGTGGACACTCGAAATCACGATAGTCTTCACAGGTAATTATCAAATTTATACTCGTACAAATCTTCCAACTCAGCTTCTAGAGCTTGATGCATTTTGAATTTTTTTTTGCTGAGAATTAAAGAAAGTTAAAGTTGGCGATGTCACAGCTATCTTAATATTCCTTTACATGTACACGATATCACTTGTGATATAGTCTGTTATTCAGGTTTCCTGATTTCCTATTTTTGTTAGAATTCTCAATGATTATATTTATTTTTGGACCTTGCATCGTTTATCGCTTTCAGACCAATCACCTGAAGACGGGCTTTAGCAGCATCGTCACAACTTTTTAGTTAATATTCTCTCCTTCCTTTAGTGATGTTCTGAATAGATACACATGTCCGATCTCTTGCTATGCTACAAGACATGTCTCCATTAGCACCTTTTAGCAATAACCTGATCCTGGATTGCTGTAAAAAAATGCTTTCTCTCTCTCAAGGAACACACTTTTCCGAACAAGTCTACGAACATGTGTTATTATTTTCCTTAATTTGTGGGCAGTTTCTTTTTTCTTGGCTGTATTTCCAATTAAATTTAGTAATGGGTATGGGTTCTAAGGTTTCTATCATGGTAGAGAATGAAATGGTCATTTAATGTCGGGATCGATAACTTAAAAATCACCAGAGATAATCATAATGAACGAAGAAGTCTCCTGAAGGTCGACTTTAGTACCTCGTACTTCGCTTTAAGGATTATGATGCTGATGGAATTTAGTTGATTCGGTAACTTTATTATATACGATAGAACATTTGTAAGTAAATCTCAGTAAGTTCATTTTTTTTTTTTTTTTCTCTTCGTCATTTCATATTTTTGGCGTAAGAATTTCGAGGTTTCACTGTATTTTGGTTTCTTTTGCAATGATGTCTGAACAGAATTTACATTGACTGTCGAAAAGGCATTGTTCATTTATCTGTTGTTGTCAAAATGAAAGACTGTTTCGTTCATTAGCAATTGGATCATGAATGCTTGGAGTGTAGAGAAATAATTAATTTGCCTTAGTTGTTTCTTTTTGGAGATTTGCCCCAGTTGAAACAGTCCGAGGGGACGGAATTAGATGTTTTATAAATAGCCTATTGTGCTAGGATGAACTGTCTCTATCCGTTGTAGATAAATTTATATTCAAGATGTAGAGATCGTAGGAGGCCACTTCCACTTGAGTCCATATTGGATATTGTTAAATGAGAACTTTTCATTAAAGTTGGTGAATCGATTAAATAATAATGGTGTTATGTAGAGTTTTTTTGTTTGGACTTGAGGGATCTCAAAACATGTATTTATGTTGAAAACTGATCAAAGTTTATTCATGATCGCAATAGCTCGTCTTACGCATGTACTTCATAGGTATGCAAAAGTTAAAAACTTATTGGAGATAATAAAATGTATAGGGCTTACATATTTTTTCTTAAAGGGTGGTTAGGGTTTCGGATTCTCTATAATAACAATAGATGGCCATGATTTGATAGTGATGACTTCGTAGGGTTGTTATTACAGTAAAAAAAAAAAAAAAAAAAAATGCATGGAGTTGGTTGGGGCGTTCAGCAAAAAATTAAAAATAAATAAATGATATTTTTTTTTTATATTTGTCGATGTTTCGGCCTAAAGTTCAGGCCTTCATCAGGGATCACGAATGGTTCCCGTAAGACCAGTTACGGCAACCTTTCGTTAGTCTAGCCCTGATGAAGGCCTGAACTTTGGTCTGAAATACGGCAAATATAAAAATAAATATCATTTACTTATTTTTAATTCTTTTTTTTTTTTGTACTGTACACCCCAACCATCTTCTATTCAATTATTCACTACAGTCAACTATCAATCCTCTGTTAAAATAAAAAATACAATTAACTTTAAATAGTTTACGCAACATATAGGCATCGGCGAATCTATGGGAAAGGTTTCGGGCTGAAGCCCTCCCCTAATAGGAAAATATATATATCATTTTTAATGGTCCATGTTGGTTTCTCTGAATGATTTTAACTAAAAATAATAAAAAAAAGCAAATCAAGATATGTACTATTTTTAAATTATCTCCGAGGCGTCTGAAAAGAGGATTGCCTTAAGATCTCCTTTTATAAACACATTTTTAGAGTGCTGCCAGTGGGTAGTTTCTCAACAAGTGGTTTCATGTTATGTTCATTTGTTCACATTTACTAAATGTATTTTTATTTTTGATACTGTTGTAAATATCATAAATACATTTTAAAAAAAATTATAACGCATGTGTTAAAGTCAGTAAATGTCTTAACTGTAAGCGCAGGTGTCAAGCAAAATTATTATTGTTTTCATGTCACCAGTTTATTTTTTATATTTATATATACGTATTGACTTAATTTATTTTTTTAAAGGCCTTCAAGGACCACTTAAAGATTAGTAGTTTATTCTTTTTCTCCTAGAGTTGATACCGTTAATAAAAACAAATATATATACACACGCATATGTATAAATCTCCCCCAAATTATATCATGGATTTATAATTACTGCAAACCTTAATTAAGAAATGTCTCACTTTTAATAATTCACTCTAGAATGTCATTTTGTTTTATACACTCTGGTTCTTTTTAGTCCTCGTCTGGAATTTAGGGTCGGCTATCTATGTGGAATTCGATTGCTTTCATTTGGCACCTTAGCTTTGGTGCATTCTTGGGATATAAGGCTGCTTTCTATTTATCTTGAGTTTTTATGAATCGAGACATCTCGGAGGGAGGAAGGAGTAGGCTGACGGGCCCCGAGAGCGGAGGGCCACCGCCGCCGAAGGCCAATAGCCCAGGTGGCGGACAGGGATCAAAGGAGGATAGTAGAGGAAGGGAAGACCAGACGGACAAGAGACTAAATTTTCCCCGAAGAGAGGGAGAGAGGGGAGAGAGACTAAACAGAGCGGGAAAGAGAGAAATAGAGGAGTGGGGGGAGCGAGGAGCCACCCTAGCGGGGCGGCCTGCCCTTTATTACGCAGTCAGCTACAGGAGTGTAGTGAGGCTACTAGTATATAGTTGTGAGTGAGTTAGTCTGCGCCAGCGAGTTTGTGTGCTGGTTCGAAGTGGAAGGTTCGATGGGATCTAGATCGGAGGCTTATCTCGCTCTCGAGCTTCTCTCTCTCTGAGGATGGTCATTGAGCTAGTCATTAGCGGTCGTCCAAGGACTGTTATCAGGGGTGGTGAGTCTTGCTCCACATTATATATCTACTAGTAGCTAGCTAATAACTTGATTGTGTCTATCCATGTCTGCTCGTCTGCATATCATCTACACTTGCAGCAACAAACAATAAACAAATCGAAGCCAGGTCGAGCTTTCTCCGTCACCCGTGTGTTGGCTAACGATGTTTCACAATTACCGAAAGGATCGTACTTTCGGTGGGACACTAGAACGGAGCCATTTTGAATCGATAGCTGGAGTCCTTGAGACCAGCTGATAACGGTGGCACTCGCTCTACCGGCGGCCTAACCTTTTGTTTTGGTCTGGTCGCCTCCATATTGAATCTGTGCCTCTCACAGCTGACGTCCTATCATATTTAGTTATTGGCATTACTCATCTCCTCTCTTGATCGTACAACGTATTACTTTTGTTGAGAACATTTTACTTTTGCTATCTTTGTTATGTTTTTACTTCTGTCAAGCAATTTCGGTTTATGTTTGTTTTGTTTTTTATCTGGACTTTTACTTAATGTGTCAACAGCATCATCAGTTCGAAAATACTAGAAATGTACAACTGTTTTCTGATCTAATACAATTTTTATTATCAAGTAAAATTATACCGATTACTCAGTTCAAAATTGAAACAAATAAATAAAATAAATAAGTATTCCATCGTGGAACATTAACTTTTTGAAGACATTTTGAAATGGTGCTGTTTTGTAACTATGAAGAAAATATTGTAGGCCATAGTCAGCAGAAGAAAACTGAAAGCCATTGATTTTTGGGTTGTTTCAATTTCGAACTGACCAATCTAATAAGTATGCTTTTGTTTCGATTTAATGTTTTAATGCAGTTTTTATTTAATAGTAAACATATATATTCGGTTGACATTAATTTTAAAACTGTCCCCCTTTACGGATTCGTGACCTCATGCCTCCTGCTGACGCATTTGAAGCAAAGCAATGCGGCATATTATTTTTAGCAACGACTGTTGTAGCGTTGGGTTGTGCTAACGAGGGGGATGATGCCGGATCGGAGATGTACCAACTGGTCTTGTTGCCTTTCTCCTCGAAGTCACGAAGTGGTCCACAACCTAACTGTAGCTAGAGCCTTCCTTCCTCCTGTCATTAAAGTCTCCGCTCTTCTGCATATGGCGGAACTGAAGATGTCTATTTTAGTTTGCCTCCTAGTTGTCTTAATATCCCTGTTGTCCCGTAATAAAGTCGATGTTTGGACGAGGTGCTTCGGCATTACCTGAACTGTCCTCTATCTTCTTAACTCTTTAAGACAGATTCGGGAATAGAATATTTTTTCAAGTGGAAGGAGCACATTATCAAAATATTATGAAAGACTTTTTGTTTGTCAATCACAGGGCTGTTTTAAGTAAACAACTAAAGCTTGTTGCATTGTAAACAATTATACTAGCACATTAGGATTGATTATAATCTTTTATCGTTTATAATTAATTGAATATGTTTTATTTGTAGTGTTATAATTCAGCTTGTTAGTTTTTTTAATCTAATCAGCTATAAATGATGGCTTGTTTACTATAATTCAATTTATTTTTATATTAACTACTTCCTATTATTTTTTTTATTTTAATCACTGAGCGTTCAAGATCAAACATCTAAATGAAAGTGTTATAAACAATGAAAGTATGCCAATGATAAAATTTTATTAAACTATGGATTAATTGTATTATATCGATGGTTTTCTGTAAACCTTTGAAGTTAAATTAATTTCATCCTTAAACTCTTGTAAACACTTAATGATTACTAGATTAAACACTTACCATAATACTTATTTATGTTATCTAATTTTTTCTACAATGTCAGACATTTTCAAGATACAATCAGAATGTTTTCCATCGAAATGTCGTTAATTGTTTATTTGTATAAAAATTGATGTACAAGATTTTATAGGAAAGCCAACAATATATAAACAAGGGTCGTGTAGATACAGATTAAGTTTGTGTGAAAAATTGATTTAAGATAAAGATAAAAATGTTAATTGATACATTTTTGAATTCTCTAATCCAATTCACATCAATCCACCAGTTGATTCTGGACAGAATTATTTGATATGCAAAGTGACAATACTCGTCCTCCTAGTGGACAAAGGTAATTTTAATCACCTGATAGAAAGTATAACACATATATTCATGCTAAGAATACATACATTTTCATAACGTAATTATTTTTTACATATTAATGAACCATTGTAATGAATGGACTAGCTTATCGATTTCAAATCGATATATTCATTACTACATGTTTATTTGGTCGACTCTTAGTCGAGGCAATTAAATAATGACTAGTTATTTGTTTCAAATTATCTAAGTTAAAGAAAGAATCTGAGTACATTTATGTATTTATAAAATCAAAATCATGATGAATGCATCATAAAATCGAACCACTCGGAAAAAACAACTTGTCTCAGGGGGAATTCCATCAATTATAAGTCTAATTGATTAGATAACCTAAAATAAATTACTATGATTCTTTGCTATCTAATTTAAGTGCTTGAGTCGTCACTTAATATTTGGCCAAGTTCCACGGATCGTACTGTATAATTAGCGATTCTTTTATACTAAAAATATAAACGCTTACTTATTGTATAAGATAAGTAAATGGCCTTTCAAAACTTTATGTCTATTGATGGGATTATATTTTTTTAAATATTATATTTATACTTTTGTAAATTGAGGCACACATAAATAAATTCGCCTTTCTTAAAAGAAAAGCATATTATATTTTGTGTTTATAAAGTATAGATCACCTAGAATACTCCAATTAAACTCCGGGCCCATTCGAAGCTTTTAGTAATAGAGCCTTGTTTCCACTTCAATTCTTGGTAATCCTCTTAAGCGTTTAAAAAGAAGCTGGAATCGGGACCTTCAAATTTAGAAACTTTATTGGAGAGCTTCCAGTTTCTTTATTAGCCTGTTGATATTATTAGGGATATTCATTGAAGTATTGTTAACTTCTTAAATTTGTAAATTAGAGGAAATTATTTACGAAACGTGTGTTAAATATGGGCGTTAGCACTCTCGATTTTAACTCAGCATAGGGTCCTGTAAAGTGTTGCTAACTTAGTAAACGCACAGAGAAGGTTATTGTAAGGTTTTGATGAGTTTGATTCTTTGTTTGCGTACGATATCGTGAATGTAAGAAAGCTAGGATATCATCTATGTATTCATCAAGTTTCTCGCCTTCTGAATCATCAAAGTCTTCATTCATGCTTACTAATAAAGCATTTTTAACCAAATAATCCAGAAGCTCAGTCTTTTTACTTTGCTTTTCCATTTTAAAAATAAATCAAAATGTTAGTAGATATATTAAGAACTCAAAAATTTTCTTTACACTACAGTCATAACCTTACTATAACTAATAACACTTTAGCACGTTAGCATATATAGGTTATTTACAATTCCTTCAAAACTTGTGCTGACCGCTTAGCATGATAGCACACATTAATGCAACTGTAAATTTACATTTAAAATATGCTTTTGTGACGGGTGGTCCCATACGCACACTTAGTTATTTCGATACTGGTCCAACATGATCTTTTACATAAATGGTGCTCCTCATCGTTACTTCCATTACATGTGCATTTTTTAAATAAGCCTTAACAAAAAATTGCTATGGGAATGTTTAATTTCCACCTGCAACTGCCAATGTTGGTCATAATCGCTTGCACCTGGAACGATAACATTCCCCTTCTCACTATTTTTTATTTTATTTTTTTTACTATGAAAGTACGTTAAAACAAGGTCGAGAAACATTTCGTAAATCTCCTTGTTTGTTTTTCTTAACTCGCTCATATCTGAAGAAGAGCATATTATATTGTATAGATATGAATTCTAGATTACTCAGGGAATGAATGTTGGAATGAAGAGTGTACAAATGTTTGTTTTATATGTAAATATTGTTACTCAACCATTATATTGCATTTCTTATTTTGAAAAGAAAAAAAAATTTAAAATGGTGTATAATTTCCATCTTCAACTTCTGTATAAAATAAAAATAATGAAGTATTCGTATGATTGAAAAAAAAATATGTATATAATATTTTAGCAGTAAACTAATCATTGCATTTAGAATGATAAAACTTGACCTCTATTGGGGGTCCCCTCTGAAGTGAGAGCAACCCCTTATTTCTAACCCCTAGGAACATTAATCCAAACGGTCCAAAAAAAATGTGAATATTTATTTATGTTGTATTTTTTATTCAGGATCAAGTGTGACATAAAAATGAAAAAAAAATTCATTATCATTATTTGCAATAAATAGAAGTTTCCAAATGAGAAATAGTAGCTGATATTATCGAAATCTATGATAGATGCAATCAGTTGTATAATTAGTAATTACAAACAATCAAATTGAATTTTGATTACTCTCTGATGTCAGTTTAGTACTTCTCATGATAGTATATCTCAGTGACAAGAAACCCTTAAAGATAGCTTCTTGTTTTATTTTATTATTTTTTATCTTAAGAAATATTATGGATTGCATCTATGACTTAATGGTCGGTTTTAAATTAATTTTAACTATCTTCGTATGTATTTGAAAAAAAAAAATTTTACAAATTTGTAAACATCACGACACTTATGTTTTATTATTCAACAATAAATTAATATTTAACAGTTTCCTATAGATTTTAAAATAATTTTTTGCCGAAAGCGAAAACCTTTATCATATATTAAAATAACGAATCTGGAAAAGCCCAACGTTGCACATATATTCTAATTTAAGTAATAATAAAAGAATCAACTTTATTCTGAGACAAAGTCCGTAAGAACAACAACATTGTTTATAAAAATTACCATTAAATCTGGCCATAATACATATTTCAATAAAAGAATCACTA